TGTGCGATCATTGTAGGTTGCCTCCCACGGAAGTGAACTTGGAGCTTTGAGCTTGGTGGGTTGCCTTTGGTCCTTGACCAAAGGGATTTTGGTAAGTTGTCATAATTATATGCATGGATATTTAATGAGCATGTATATGTTGTTGGTTGGTTTAAATTGAAATGGAAATGTCTTATGTGTAGGCATTTCTAGTGGTACCAAGCTCGGGAAAGTATTTAATTGGAGCTATCAAGCTAGAAGGAGATTAATCAGGTAATCCCTTGGTACTGGGGTTTAATCCCCGTGTGTGCTCCACCATGCCTCTTGTAGGTAGTGATTGGAGGTGTATGTTGATAGTATAGTATAACATGATCATGCATATTTATATGTATAGTGGTACATAGGATGTACTGTGTTTCTTACCAATAGACTGTTGCCTTCGGGCGTTACGGACTTCTACTGGATAGGTCTCCATGAGGGAGTTTCAGTTGTCCTGGGGTCGTGGTGTGTCATCCGTAGAGGAGCACACTAGGAAGTCTCGGGTGTGTATGGATGGAGGGTGCCTTGGTTGATGTTCTGGGAACACTTCCTTGGATTGGAACCTGTAGGCTATATGTCGAGGCCAATAGGCTGGATGTTGTGTGGCTTTGGCATTGACCATTCAAGCTTCATCGTATTTTATTCCCTATGCTTCCCTATTTCACTAAATCCCTAGCTTTATCCCGTTTTTGAATGTTGTAGTATATTATTGGTATGCATATGCGTGAGCCATTGAGCGGAGTAATCTCTAGAACTTCTGGGTTACTGAGATATATTCGTATATCTCAACCTGTTCTGGGGACTTTATTTCAAGTAGTGACAGTGGCGTTGGAGCAGCGGGCAAAAGGCTCGTAGGATGAGCTTATGGACGTAAGGTGTATTTTGCATTTTGTGGTCATATGGCCTCGAATAGACTTAGGGCATAAACACTGCACGTGGAGTTAGAATTATGCATTTTATCATTGATATTCATGTCATATTTTGTTTAAGTTTAGCTTATGTTTTACCATGTTTTCATTTGGAGATTTATTTGTATTATGTCTAATTGGAGGAATGTAAATTGTAATTTGTAATATTGAGACTTTGTGTAATATTGAAGCATGTATATGATGAAAGGGCAATAGGCCTATTATAGGATATGATTTATGTTTTATGTCAAATGAATGCATGCAAAGGAACTAATGTGATTGAAATGGTTTAAGAATTGATAATGTAATCGATGAGGTGTAAAGTAAGCTTTTGATATAAATTGGGAAGGGTTGTAAGAGCACCAAGGCATTGCTGGTACTTAGTGCCACCCATGTTTATTAGGTACCATTTGAGGATAGATAACACACTTTTAAAAGTGGGATATGTTGGAAAAACGAAGGAGACTCTGGCAAAATTTCTATAAATTGACAGATTTTCAGTGAACTTTGGGAGAACATATCTCCCACCACAAAAGTCCAATAGGGACATGCCATACACCATTTTGAAGTTTGAGATGTCAACTACCTTGTGTCAAAATTTGAGAACCATAGGATAGCATGCTGCCCTGTAGAAGCCAGTGAACACAGACTGCTCAAAACTCCCCCGCACTTGGGGCTGTCACTGGAAGTTTTTGGAAAAATTATTCCCGCTTCGTTTCTTGGTCAAATTAGGTGCATAATATGTCAAATTGAAGCTTAAGGTGTCTAGTTTACTGTATAAAAATTTGAGAGAAATTGGTTGATTGGAATTTCCAGAATCGTTGAGAGAGTGCAGGCTGTTTGGAGCCCTATTTGAGGTTGGCTGGCAGATTTACTTGTCCAACTTCAAACGGTGATAACCGAAGCAAACGAGAACTTCATGACTCGTGTAATATTTTGTTAGAAAGATAATTAAGTTTAGAATAACATACTAAAAGATGAGAGGTTCGCGACATGCGAATTTTCTGCAAAGTCCAGTATAGTGAACCACGTTCGGATAGGTAGAAAACGTAAAAGTGAGATTTTGGCTAAATGGGTTTATGGGAACCCCTTAGGAGGTGTTTGGTTCAAGTTTTCTTAGAGGATGCCTAGGCACTACATATTAGGATTTTGTGTGATCCATGTTTGCTTCAAGTTTTTTAAGAATATTGGTAGCAAACCAACTTGCATAGACTTTTAGAATTGTTTGGAAAAAGTGATATAATGCACTATGCCAAAATGCCACTTTGGAGATGGTATTGAGAGATGTATGGCTAAATGGAGAAATGGGAAATAAAAGCATGAAAAAAATACCTTCTTATAATTTGGAGGAGAGTGAATTTGGAAGAAAGATGTAAACATTCAAAAATTAAAAAGGGGTTAATTTGGTAATCTTACCTCATTTCCCTATTAAAATTTTACCTCAAACCAAACATAGACTTTATAAATCTTACCTAATTTGTCCGGTAATTTTTTTTCCAACCAAACAACTTTTTTTACATTTTCCTACCAAACTCACTTTTCAACCATTTCCCTATCAATTACATTTTCCTAGTATTCAAAAAATTTCTCCTCAACCAAACGCCCCCTTAGTGACTGGAGAGAAGTGTTATATGATATCTAGGCATGTTATATTATTATTCCGCAATTAGTTTTCAGTTACGGTTACATATTTTATTTATTACGCCTTATTATTATTTTAAATGCTCGCGTAATAAAAAGAAAAAAAATTACTCACATTTTTATAAATGAATTGTTGTGATTGTAAATGCGCTTAATATCATAATCAATGTTAATAGTACTGGTGTACAATAGGCTGTTATAATTTTAATATCCCTCCTCCGGCTAAATATTTTTTTTTGGATGAGGGGTTATTTATAAAGTAGAGAAAGAGACTTGGATGATTGAGATTGTGCTACATGGCACACCGTCAAAGTTGCCAAGGGGAGGCAGGTGGAACTTGCTTAAAAAAAAAAAGTTCCCCAAGGGAGGGGCGAAACTCTTTGGAAGGGGATTTCAAACTCAATCAGTTCCGCTGAGATAGCAGAATTGTTTGAGAAAAAAAAAGAAAAAAATAAATTGTTCTACTAGAGGGAAGCGTCGGGACTCAAATCCACTAGACTCCCAGTAAATGTCCCTGGTTTATGGTATGCGGCATATCCTGCTTGTGGAATCATCCTACCGTCTTTGTATAACAGTTTTATTGAATTGTATTCTGGTTAGCCCATTGGTGAGGGTGCTCATAGTCTATAGTCTATACCTAATTCCGTGATACCTCACGGTATATTATCAAGTTAAGACTCGGCTCGAAACATATCTGTGTTATTTCAACATTCATCAAAGTGGGGACTACTTGGATTTACAAATTTCTTACGAATTATATATGTTATTGGGTTACATCTTGTGAGGGGTTGTTTTTTTCTTTAGTCATCTGGGCTTCTAATAATCCTTAGAGGTGTGTTATAGGCAATGATGCACGGACACGGACACGAGACACAACACGACACGACATGCCGACACGTTAATTCTAAAAATTGCTAAATTCTAACACGTTGGGACACATTTTGATATTAAATAAAATATTTAATATATATAATATAATTTATATTTAATACATATAAGAGTACATAATAAGTCATATAACCAATCAAATATTTAAATTTCATAACATAAATATTAAAAAAAAATAGAACATCCCAAGAGTCTAAAGTGTAGAAAAATAGAAAAATTGAGAGCAATATGGAAAAGCTTCACAGAAGCAAAATACACATGTGAACACAAGAAAAATTGAGAGCTTCAAGACAAATCCCAAGATGATATAGAAAATTTAAAAAAGAAAAAAAAGAGAAGAGAGATATATAAAATATATATATAAACCGTGTTGGAAAAGGAAGAGTAAGCTTGGCGGTGAGAACAACAGAACAAATCAGAAACCAATAGGGAAATAACCCATTTTGTTGCAGAGAAAAATAAATAAACCCACCAAAGCAATCAATACAAAATCTCAGGGATAAGGATGATATAAAGGAGAGAGAGAGACTCACACAACACAGTAATGCTTAAATCCTTTCAGATATGATGCATAAGAATTTGACCGAATGCAGTAACAGCTTACAGTAGCAGCAATAATAGAGTACATATTGCTTCGAGTACATGGAGACTACGAATTTGTCCCAAAATATTTTCTATGCTTCGAGTACATATTTCTTGTCCCAAAATATAACATCAGATTAATAATTACAGAACAACTAGTTCCATTCTCCACACGAATTTGTTGTGTGTTATGCAATAAATTAACACTAAACAACATTTACCAAAAAGAAAAAAAAGAAAAAAGAAAAGGTACAAAACATTTGAAAGCAACAACTCATAAACCAATTTCACATCCTAGAAATGGAGACTTACTGGAGACGACGACCAACGACTGGATGGAGACGACGACCGACGACCAACGACCGGAGACGACGACCGGCGACGACCGACGACAAAAGAAGAGAAGGACCAGGCGACCAGCAGCCTCCACTCACTCTCCAGCGCGAGATGATTATCAGAGGATAGGGTTCATTTTTTATTTTTATTAAATATTTTTTATTTTTTTTAATTGTAATTTTATTTATTTTTTACAAAAAAAATGCAAAACGTGTCCCAAAACGTGTCCAAATATGTTGACTACGTGTCGGATACGGTCAAATATGCGTGTTCCTAAAGTCAACGTGTCCCAAAAAGTTGACCACGTGTCCGAACGTGTTCGTGTCCGACACACATTTTTTCTCAAAAAACACGAGTCCGTGCTTTGTAGGTTATAGGTACAAATCTGAACACTTATTTTTTATTTTTTTTTTGGAAATTATGTTGCTAAATATATTATTGTTATTATAATTTTGTTTGATGTTAAAAAAAATCTCGTAATTATTTACCAAAAATAAATCTTTTATCATTTGATTAATTTCCCGCCAAAAGCAATCCAGTTACCGCTATTTCCAGCTGTAAAGCCTCACCTCGCCACACATATTTGAAATCGCTGTAACACCGTACCATCATACACCTGCAGTGGATATGGACTTGGACATAGACATGGACATCCCCCTCCCCGAAGAGCTTGAATTACTGGAATCAGATTCTCATCTCCACGAACAAGATGAACACCAAGATCTAGATCAAGACCAAGACGATTACCACCCAGACGTCGATCAAACTGAACCCCAACCCGAACAACCTCCAGATCTCGCGTTTCCTTTGGAACCCGAAACCAACGGTCTCAAGCGTTCGCGTTCGAGTTCGGATTCGGATTTGGATTCTCCCGATGAGGAGAAAAGGTTTAGGGTTAGGGTTGAGGATTCCTCCGCCGCTGATGAGGACTGGCTACGTTACTCGCCTCCTCCTCCTCCTCCGGTGGAAGAAGTGAGGTCTGTGAAGGAAACGATGTTGTCAAGGTACGCGTCGAAGATTGACGGGGAGTGTATGCCGGTCACCGCGCCCAGTGGTGATAGGGTTTATGTCAAGCTGAATCGGTTCCAAGGAGAGGAGCGTGTAAGGAAGCTCGATTGTAAAGGATATTCTGCTGGTAACATTTCACATGCCCCAAGCTAATTAGCATTCCAACTTCATTTAGCCTAGAAATATGATTGTTTTATTTATTTCTTATTTCTTATTATTATATATATTATTTATCTTAAACTGTTCTTGCTTTTATATGAGTTCATCATTGCTGATTCTGACTAATTTAGTATAAAATGACGTTGATGTTATGTTTCAGTTAATTTTGATAAGCTTCTTCATTTAATAGTTAATACCGATTAGTATACTACATTTTAAAATGTCAAGATGTTGGATGACTTGGATTTTTATTTGCTTGCAGATCTTAGTTTAGAACCGATTAGTATTCTATTTGAAAAATTGGAGCAAGAGGCTTTGGCTAAGGTTTGGACTTAAAACTGTCTATTTTGAACTTCAAGTGCCTAAAGCTTGAATTAAAATTTCAACATTTTTGCATTATGGTTGTTTATTACTTGGAAACATCTAAAATTGGTTATCAGACATGACTTGTGTTGTTTCTTAATGCTTATTCTTCTTGTGATGCTGAAGGCCTTGGAAGCTAGTTCTGAATGCCAAAGTGTTGTAGATGTTCCCGAAACACGATTGGTTAATGGGCAACTTTGGGTAGATAAATATGCTCCGAAATCATTTACTGAGCTTCTTAGTGATGAACAGACAAATCGTGAGGTACATATTTGCCATAGCTAAAATGCTACGGCAATCATTGATCAAAATTACTATAGTTGAAAGACATTATTATTTGGCTTTCGTGGCTTGGCTTTCATTGCCATTAATCGAATTGATTGTCGTCTAGAGCAGGTACTCTTGTGGTTGAAACAATGGGATTCTGTTGTGTTTGGATCTGAAATTCGAAGGACATCAGATGATGTTTTTTCTGCTTTGAAACGACATTCTTCTATTGCCCAAAATCAGAAGCCTTTTTATTCAAAGTTTCCAAGGATAAACAGAGGACCCAAATGGAGTAGTGGGAGGTATATAAATTCGAAAAGTATGGATGAGAGTGGTAATTCAAAGAGTGTTCAGGATACATGGAATATGAAGTCAAGGAATACTGGTCCACCAGAAGAGAAGGTATGTATAAGAATTGCCTGATTGCATTTTCATTTTGAGAATTGTCTGGTTAATGAGTGAAATAGTTACTCTTACGTACTATATATGCACTTATCATTTTTTGGGAAGCAATATGCAATAGTAACAAAATTGGTAGATTTGTGTCAGTTTTGTCAGATTTGTGAGAAGTTGGGCATAATAAGCAATTTTACATTATTCTCCAGCTGGGGCCCGCAGTGTTGTAAGAACATGTATTAGTTTTTGGGTTATGATTAGTATATGGGCTGCTTGTGTATACAACACTTTAACTATACTTGTACTCAGCCAGAGCCTCACATACACCACCACACACACACATTCAAGCACATATACAATGGTTGGGTGCATAATAATGAAGGTATTACTTCATTTTATTTTTGAGAGATTACTTTGCAAAACGGTATGCTTTTTTCTCCAAAGGTAAACTGATAGGAATATACTCATGTAGGGAGTTATGTTCTACCAATGAGGTGGCATAACTAACTTTAGAATATTCTAGGAGGTTAGGCTAAGTATAAGAGGGGAAATATGTAGTGTAAAGGCAGCTTGGGAAATATTGGACTTGGAATTGGGAGAGTCAGTACCTCTCGAATGTACTAAAATTTAGCTTTTCTGCTTTGAGTATTTTACTGTTAATGTATTTAAATTATGTAATTTCCTTTCTTGTTCAAATATATAGAAAATCCAGATCCTTTTCTGGGCAAAAACACTGTTTTTTGTCTCTGTTTTACTGTTATTTGATCCGGTTCTTATCATAAACATGTTATGGTTGAAACATAAAAAAACTGTTGATGATTTTTGATACATTAGAAACAACTTTTTTCCTTCAGCTTCCACCTGAACATTTTTTAATTGTGCTTTCTGATCATTTAATAGTTCTTGGAGAAACATACTTATTTTCCCTACAAATCACATTCTAACACATTGAGCATTAATTGTCACTTATTGCAGCTTCCTCTCTTTCCTTCTAGAATTTTTTTAATAGTGAAGCGCTCCAGGTCCAAGTAGACCAGATTCCCATCTTACATTTTTTTTTATGAGATTATAAAAAAAAATCTTTTTAATTTTTGAGGCAATTTGAGCTCTTCCAGGACTTTCTAATTTTATGTTGATATCGTTAATATTTAAAACATTTTTAGTAACACAACAAATTATTATTAGTAGTCTTATCCTTCTGATCGTGCAGTTAACACTTTTGTCATCGATTTGTCCATACATGGCGTGTGATTCAGCCATTTGATTTATATAAATGTTTCATCAACCCTGTTGTCTAATAATAAGTATTGAATCCCATTGGTGACTGAATCTTTATAATGATTACAGATCCTTCTTCTCTGTGGACCACCAGGGCTTGGAAAGACAACACTTGCCCATGTAGCAGCTAGGCATTGTGGATATCATGTGGTGGAGGTATTTTCCTATACTATTTTACATGCAGAATCATAACTCTTCAAGCTGTATTATCTTTTTTATTTATTTATTCAGATAATAAAAGTGTAAAGAACCTTGGGATACACCACCTCAAAAGCTAGCTCAAAGGGTGAGAGTGCCCAAGGCCTTATAAAGGCCACATTAGTTGCACATACAACCAATGTGTGACTATATATCTCAACACGCCCTCTCATACAAGAGCCCATTGGGCTTGAAGAGTGGACAATGCAACAGGCCCAACCTACCTGTGCTAAGAGGCGCCACAAGAGAAAGTGGGGGGCGGCGAGGCTCTGATACCATGTAAAGAACCTTGGGATACACCACCCCAAAAGCTAGCTCAAAGGGTGGGAGTGTTCAAGGCCTTATAAACTCCACATTAGTTGCACATACAACCAATGTGGGACTATATATCTCAACACGCCCCCTCACACAAGAGCCCATTGGGCTTGAAGAGTGGACAATGCAACAGGCCCAGCCTACCTGTGCTAAGAAACGCCACAAGAGAAAGTGGGGGGCGACGAGGCTCTGATACCATGTAAAGAACCTTGGGATACACCACCCCAAAAGCTAGCTCAAAGGGTGAGAGTGCCCAAGGCCTTATAAAGGCCACATTAGTTGCACATACAACCAATGTGGGACTATATATCTCAACAAAAAGTAATATTCTTCGTGGTGTTTTATGCATTTTGTATCATTTGGTTGGCTAAATTTGTTGGTGATTTTATGAATTATGTAAAACTAATTTCACTTACTGTAAAGTATGTATTGATGTAATTATTTGATAGAAAGGATTTTTTTTTCTTGTATGTCTTTGTTATTGCATATGGCCAAGGGGAACTACTTGATGTGGTTGAACTATATTAGTATATTTGTCAAGTACCATTTTATCATATTGGTTCCGATTAATCTTGTCGCTTCAATTTAGTTGCTGTTTGTGTTAATAATTCCCTTTTGAATATGTAGAAAATATCTCAATATCATTGTTGTATCTTAAGAATATTTAGAGTATCTTACATAATCTCTTAGGAAGGCTGTTCATATATTGTTATACTTCATGATTTATGTCCTTATTTGATTAGGATCAGGTGTCTATGTGTTAGGTTTCTGAGAACCTAAGAAGAAATGACCCAAAAGAAGAACAAAGAAATTGTATTGTGTATATTATTCGAATGCCTTTCTTAATCCTGTTACAAAGATTATATACAAACAGTAACTAACTAACTTGACACATGGCTAACCACGTGTAAGATAGCTAACCCACTAACTAACCCTTCTCCCAATGAATACATGCACCTATACACGTGTGCATCAACCGTTTCCTCCAAATGACTAATTACATGCAATACCTATTGAATACAGAGTTAAACTACTTAAAAGAACTCAAGCAACAAATCCAGATAGTCTTGAAGAATGCTTCTTCTCCCTACTCGATCTTCGTAGTGTAACATTACCCTCTCCTTCGACAATAACCTTGTCCTCAAGGTTGAGAGATGGGTAGCAATGCTGCAAGTCTTGCTCTTTCTCCCAGGACGCATCCTCAGGTACTGTATCGGACCATTGAACCAAAAATTCACGAATTGGTTTGCCATGGCAAGAAGAAGGACGAGTCCCCAAGACTGCTACAGGGACCTGCACAGGTCTGTTATCAACAGCTGAAGGTGGCAGTGGATTAGGAACCAAAGGAACAGAACCTCGACAAGGTTTCAATTGTGACACATGAAACACTGGATGGATTTGGCTCCCTGGAGGTAGCTGTAACTCATAAGCAGTAGCACCTAACCTTCGAAGAACTTCAAAGGGACCAAAAAATCTCTTTGCCAACTTGTAATGTGCTCTCCTTTCTACTGTAACTTGTTTATATGGTTGCAATCGAACCCAAACTTTATCTCCGGCATTAAAGGAAAGCTCCTTGTGATGTTTATCAAATTGAATTTTCATTCGATTCTGAGCACGTTGCAACTGAACCTTAAGTTGAGATAAAATTTCATTCCTTTGCTACAGCATAGTGTCAATGGCCTCCACTTTAATCAAACCTCGTGGATAAAATGGTATCATGATGGGAGGCTTCCCAAATACTGCTTGATAAGGTGACATGCCAATAGCTGAATGTATGGCTGAATTATAGTGAAATTGTGCCCAACATAAAAAACTGCACCAAGATTTCGGTTGTTCAAAACAGAAGGAGCGTAAGTACTGTTCAAGATATCTGTTGGTCACTTCTGTTTGACCATCAGATTGGGGATGGTATAATGATGTAGCACATAAAGTAGTACCACTAAGTTTGAAAAGATGGCACCAAAACTTGCTTAGAAAAATTCGGTTTCTGTCTGTTAAAATGGAACGAGGAAACCCATGGACTCTCACCACCAATTCACAAAACAAATTGGCAACTGTGAATGCAGTATATGAATTTGGTAAAGGACCAAAATATGCAAATTTAGACAATCTGTCAACCACTACTAACACAGTAGTGAAACCTTTCGAAAGAGGTAATCCACAGATGAAATCCATTGAGAGCTCCTCAAAGATCCTTTCTGGAATGGGTAGTGGTTGCAACGAACCAGCCACCCTAGAAGTTTCATACTTAACTTGTTGGCATATGTGACAATTCTGGACAAATTGTTTCACATCCTTCTTCATAGTTGACCAATGAAAGGTAGCTGACAATCTCAAAAAGGTCCTTAATACACCAGCATGACCTCCAATCGAAGATGAATGAGCTTCTGTAATTAATACAGGAATCAAGGAAGAAGGACTGATAAGGTATTTACCTTTATATAAGATCACCCCTTCACGAATAAGCATGTCTGGGTTACTGTTGGGATGGTTCTGTAATTGCTGATGAATCTGCACCAAGTGAGGATCAACCAGATTCTGATTTTTAATCTCAGCCAAAAGGTCAAAACTCGGGTTCAGAAAAGGAGACACATAATGCACCATTCTCATCAAAAACTCGAGACAATGCATCATCCACTATGTTGGCATGACCAGGTTTATACTCAATGTGAAAAGAGTAGCCCATCAATTTACACAAATACTTTTGTTGCTCAGCTGTATGGATGGTTTGAGTCAGAAGCTCCTTGATGCTTCTATGATCAGTTCTGATTATGAACTTGGCACCCAACAAATATTGGCGCCAACGTTTAACAGCTGTTGTGATTGCATAAAGCTCCCTGATGTAAGTAGAAGCAGTAGCTAGTCTAGGACCTAACTTTTGACTGAAGTAAGAAATGGGATGTTCACCTTGTAACAAAACAGCCCCAACTCCATTGTTTGAAGCATCAGTATCTAAAACAAAAGGTTCCTCAAAATTAGGTAACCTCAAAACAGGAGTGTGAGACATAGCATGCTTCAGTTCCATGAAGGCAGCCTCAGCTGATGCGGTCCAAGAAAAAATAGCTGATCCTTTCAATAAATTGGTTAAAGGCAGGGCTATGGAAGCATAACCTTTAACAAAACGCCTGTAATAACCAGTAAGGCCTAGGAAACCCCTCAACTGTTTAATGTTTCTTGGAATAGGCCATTGAAGCATGGCTGAAATCTTCTTGGGGTCAGCACACACACCCTTATCATCCACCACATGCCCAAGTATTCAATAGATTTTTGACCAAATGCACATTTGCTAAGCTTGACAAAAAATTCAAATTGCTGTAAGGAGCTGAGAGTTAATTCCAAGTGCCTAACATGGTCTTCAATACTTTTGCTAAACACCAAGATGTCATCAAAGAAGGCTAAAATAAATCTCCTCAAATAAGGCTTGAACAAGTGATTCATTACAGCCTGGAAAGTTGCAGGGGCATTTGTCAAGCCAAAGGGCATGACTAAAAATTCATAATGACCCTCATGGGTTCTAAAGGCAGTTTTGTAAGAATCAGAAGGAAGTAAACGGATTTGGTGATATCCAACCCTGAGATCCAACTTTGTGAAGATGGTGGAGCCACCTAGCTCATCCAAGAGCTCATCAATGGTAGGAATAGGGAACCTATCCTTAATTGTAACTGCATTAAGAGCCCTATAATCTATGCAAAGTCTCCAAGTCTTGTCATGCTTCCTCACTAGCAGTACTAGAGAAGAGAATGGGCTATTAGAATGTTGAATAAACCCAGCTGCCAATAATTCTGAGACTTGTCTCTCAATTTCATACTTTTGGCTATGACTATATTGATAAGGTCTTACATTAATTGGTTTGGTACCAGCTTCCAAATAGATGGAATGATCCAATCCTCGAAATGGAGGTAAACCACTAGGAACAGAAAAAACTTTCTGAAATTTGAGCAGAATGGACCAAATGAGTGGATGGATTGTAGGTTTCAATTCTGTCAATTCAGGAGATTCTGTGAGTTGCAATTTGGAATCATTTTCCACATGCAAAGAATTACAGACAACCCATTTAGTGGTGAGAAGGACATTCAGGTTAGCAGGAACTGATTCCTCATGATGGCCGTGTAAGGAAATTGAATTACCTTCCCACACAAATTCCATAGATTTCCTCACATAATCATGAGTGACCTTGCCTAAACGTTCAAGCCAAGGCATGCCCAAGATAATATCAATCTCAGATAAATCTAAAACCCATAGGTCACAGACAAACAATGTGCCTTGAATCAACAATGGAACTTTGAAACACTTCCTTTCTGAATACATGACCTCACCATTACCCAAAAATACACGATTCCGATGGGAATGTGTCATAGGTAAAGAAAGCTTAATAGCTAATTGCTTCTGAATAAAGTTGTGCGTACTGCCAGAGTCAACTAAAACAGAAAAGCTCATACCTCCTAAGGCAGAAGTGAAAACCAAGGCACGATAATGATTTATGTCACTCAAGGTATGTACTGAAGCATCTTTGGATTCTCCCATGGAATGATCAACTTGCCACACGATCTGCTCCTCTTCCAAATCCTCTTGGACCTCATCTTCTTCTCCCACTAGCAGCATCATTTTATTTTTACAAAGATGTTTGGAAGACCACTTTTCATCACAAGTGTAGCAGAGTCCCAATTCTCTCCTCTTATGCAAGTCAGCATCTAAGACCCTTTTCATCTGATTAGAAGCTGGTAAAGCTAATCTTTGCGAATTGGCCACTGGTGGGGGAGGAGAAGAATGAGTCGTGGAAGTGCTGGAACTAGAGGAATTAACCTCAGTAACCTGAACTGGTTTGGGAATTTTTTTTCTGGGAGCAGCTTGAAATGAAAGCTTTAAATCACCAAAGTGATCATCATAAGCCATTGCCAATTGAATGGCTTGATGCAGTGACACCGGTTCCCTCAATTGTACGGCACTCCTGAGCTCAGATTGAAGACCAGAAATGAAAAAATTCATCAACAAATCATCATCTAAATCAGGTATCTGATTGACCAGTGCCTCAAACTGTTGAATATAAGAACGAAGTGAAGAAGATTGAGTCAATTTAGACAAAGCCCCCTTTAGATTAGTGAATCCAGACATACCAAATCGTTGGCGTAGTGCAGAAGTGAAATCACACCAAACACGAGCCTTACCCGTATTGAATGTCCACTGAAACCAAGAAGCTGCCATACCATCCATCTTTAACCCAGCTAAGGACACCTTCGTTTCCTCTGGAATCATTTGAAGAGTAAAGAAAAGCTCTGCCTTGAAAATCCAATTATTAGGATCAGTACCATTGAACGTTGGTATCTCCATACGAACACCTTTAAGAAGCGAACGATGATCCATAGTGTCAGATTTATGCGAGTTATGAGACGCAGAAGAAGAATTGGTACTGGAAGATTCATGCCTATGCGTTTGATTAGCAATAAGCGTTTCTTGTAACTGTTGCATTTGATTTACCAACATGGAGATTTGATTTCTGGTTTCCGTCGCTTGTCGAGTTGCCTGAAGACGAAACTCATCAAAATTTGTGTCCACCCGTTGCTGAAAGGAGTGCAACTCCTCAGAAAGTTCTTGAACTCGCGTCATTGAATCCGAACGAGAAGATGAAAGCATCAATGTTAGGTTTTTGAGAACCTAAGAAGAAAGAACCCAAAAGAAGAACAGAGAAATTGTATTGTGTATATTATTCGAATGCCTTTCTGAATCCTGTTACAAAGATTATATACAAACAGTAACTAACTAACTTGACACCTGGCTAACCATGTGTAAGATAGCTAACCCACTAACTAACCCTTCTCCCAATGAATACATGCACCTATACACGTGTGCATCAACCGTTTCCTCCAAATGACTAATTACATGCAATACCTATTGAATACAGAGTTAAACTACTTAAAAGAACTCAAGCAACAAAACCAGATAGTCTTGAAGAATGCTTTTTATTCCTACTCGATCTTCGTAGTGTAACACTATGTTAAGGGTGATTTGTCTAAAGGAGGTCAATCGAATGAAGGGAACTTACCTTGTAAACGTGAGACCCTATAGATACCCCCACCTACAAAAGAACAAAATTCAAGTGCAACTTCCTTCTCAATTTAGGATTCACCCAGTCTTTCATGCATCACAACTTAAAAAGGTTGTGGGTGACCATGTAGTGGAGCCTCATTTGCCAAAAGAATTTCATGTTGAACCAACTCTGTATCATGCTGTTGTTGTTTTGGGAAACCAAGACTCTTAATCAGCAAGATCTTCCTATTGTTCAGGTGCTCATACATTGGCAGCAGTGACCTATTGTAGAAGCTTCTTGGGAAGAGGTCTCTATCATTCAACAACAATTTCTGGATCTTAACTTGGGGGACAAGGTTGTTTCCCAAGGAGGGGATATTGTTACAAGTGATTTGTCTGAAGGAGGTCATTGGAGGGTATTTTCCCACAAGAATACCAAAGAAACCTTAGGGTAGGCAGTTAGTTAGTTGAAAGTTGTATAAATAGAACTGTATTGGTGGTGTTAAGGGGGATTGATTGTTAGTAGAAATGAGATTTTTCTCATTGAGAAGGGACCTTTTCTCTTGTAAAGACCAAGTCTCTTGTACATCCTCTTTCGAGGATTAATAAAAAGCAATCTTTCCTATTTCCTTTCTACTGATCTTCTGTTGGTTCACACTTCAGCAAAATTATATTGTAACAGTCTAGTATTAGAATAAATAGGGGTTAGTGATTTGTCTTTTGTATTAAATCAAACAAATATCAATTTGATATTATTCATTAGTTTATTCTTTCTTTTCCTCCTTCCCTGAATAAATCCTTAAAAGTTCAACATGATACCACAAATTGATTCCATCCTCTGTAACTTGTCCCATCATTATTCTGCTACCGAATTCCCTAAAACATAGAGCTTTACTTTATTTCCATGATTATTTTCTTCCTTTGAATAAGCCGTCGCTCTTATTGTACCCTCTATCTCTTCACTACACTTGTTGGCACGTCTTCTTTCATGAAAGTGTGACTTTCACATCATTACCATCGCTATCTGCCCTGAGTGTCTAGGTCAGCTGCTTTTTGAATTCGCACCTCCATCAAAGCCTCTACATGCCGTCTCAAGCTTCCGGTGTTCGTCAGCTTCTATTGGCAAGTGAGGGTCCATCCAGCAACATTTTTTTGCTGCCATAGCTTTTGTTTGACTCGTCTCCTCTTTCCAGATTTGCCTCACCTTGTGCAATTGGTCATGACATGTGCCTAGCCACTCTTGTGCAATTGCTGCCCCTATTCCTTCCACCTCCATCTTTGTTTCCCTTGCTTCAATATGTCCGCTCAGGCCCAGCCCCCACTATCTTTGTTTTCCACCTTCCCGTGTCTGTTTGGCTCCCCTGGGCTGTGGTTTTGTATTTGGTGATCTGATTTTGATATGCTCTCTCTCTCTCCATTAGGTTTTATGTGTTTGGTTTGTTTCTTGGCATTCTTTGTAGCGTTTATGTTTGGTTTGTCATTGTTTTGGCTATTGTATGACTCTTTTCCAATGTTAGCCTAGAATTGAGAGGGAGAAAGTTGGAAGGTGTTTGTCATATTGTCCTTTTGCACGAAGAATTGTGACTTCTCCCATTGATGATCAATATGGTGCTGACTTCTTTCTCATGGATGAATCTGTCTAGTTGTGATGTATGTTGGTTATGGCTCACACCATCCCTATTTTTTTCTGTATATAGTTTGACTCTGTCTCTAGTTGTAGATGCTATTGCTTGCAACTACATTTTATGTGTTTATTTTCTATTAGTGAGTTTAATTGTAACAAACTTAAATCTTATTAACTTGAGGGGAAGTGTTAGAGTATGTAGAAAATATCTCATAATATCATTGTTGTATAATAATGTTTAAGGATATCTTAGATGATCTGTTAGAAGTGGTTGCCTCTTTCGTTATATCTCTTGGTTTATTTCCTTATTTAACTGGGATTAAGAGTGTAGTAGTAGTGAAAATTGGGATTTGTGCTTTATCTTTTGTATTACTTTATACAAATATCAATTTCAGGTTATTTATTGCCCTTGTTCTCTTTTCCTCCCTCCTAACTAAATTTATAATTTCAAGATATATAAATAAGAATTTTAAATTTTGTAGGTTAATGCCAGTAATGATCGTTCTACATCAACAATTGAAGCCAAAATTCTTGATGTGGTTCAGATGAACTCTGTCTTGTCTGATTCAAAACCAAAGTGTCTGGTATATTATTATTATGGTTATTATTTATTTTTAGTATTTTCACTTTGCATCTTATTGCATGTGGTAAAAATGGTTGTCTATTGCCTTTTCTTTTCAGGTGGTGGATGAAATTGATGGAGCCCTTGGTGATGGCAAGGGTGCTGTGGAGGTTCTTTTAAAGATGGTTAGTCATACCTAGATGTTATGGTTGGTCTATCTTTTTATAACATCCTCAAATTTCTAACAATTTATAAAAACATTCTTATAATAAAGAAATTACACTCTTAAAGTGATTTGTCTAAGTCAAAGTTATCAAATGCAGATTGCGCTCTGTCGGAGCCAACCCTAAAAAACGCTATAGCGGGTTGCAATTGCGAAAAATAACAGAATAGATCAATAGAACTTATATATATATGCTGAAAAAAAGATAAAATACGTTTGCTTCAGCTTTCTAAGAACACCATCATAAAAAAACAATCAAAAGGAAGCCTTAGATATCAAAGACAGAACAAAAAAGAATTAAAAACATCTTCATAAAATTTAAAGGCTGTTTATGTTTTTTTTTTTTTTTTCTTTTTTTAAAAAGAGTTGAAATTCATGAAGCTGTTATTGTGAAAATGTCACAAAGCAATGTTCAATAGAGTCTATTCTTACATAAATTAAAAATATAAAATACATTTGTTTCAGCTTGGTGAAATGTGTCATGAAGCTGCTGTTCTTAAAATGTCACAAAGCCACATGTTCAATAGAGTCTATTCTTACCAAAATTAAAAATATAAAATATGTTCGCTTCAGCTTTCTAAAATGTATCATGAAGCTGTTGTTAAAATGTCACGTAGCCACGTGTTCAATAGAGTCTATTCTTGCTTTTTGCTTCAACTTTTTAAGATGTCCTGAAGCTGTTTTCACTCTTACTATGTCAGCATACGCAGTGTTTTGTGAAAAAAAAAATCCATATAACTTTAGATACTTGCATGACATATCAGTAAGAAAAAACAAAGCAGAAAAAGAATAGAGCAGTTAAAAAAAAGAAAGAAAAGAAAATGGAGCGAACCTAAAACTGAGAGAGCCTTCGATGGAAGTCAGTCGTTGGTTGCCTGATCGCTGTTTGTTTGAAATGGAAGGGTTGGCCGCTGCTGTTCCCAGAGAGTGTAGAGTCAGATTACAAATAAGGGTTAAAAGACAATTTAACCCTTAAAAGAAAGACTTTTGGGTTATTATATGAAAGGCAAAAATGGAATTTGGAAGCCATATAGGTTGGAGTGGATGGTCTCCGCAATGCACAACAGTAGCACGATTGTGCGCAATAGCGGCGCATTTAACATCTATGGTCTAAGTAGGTCTTCTTAATTGTAGTTGTAAAGAACCAACTAGCAAAGACGCATGGATGATTTTATTATATGATTTATATTATATCTAACACACCCTCTCATGCAAGAGTTCTTTGGACTTGAAGCGTGGACAATGCACAACAATCTCACATACCTTGTACTGATCTTCAAAATTTTATTAGAACAATGCGGTTAAAAAGGATTGAACTCTAGACCATTTATTCATTGGGGATTTGCCATCTATTCATGAAACCAAGTATCCCAATACCCTTCTCCTTTTACTCTTTTGCCTTTCAACACCTAGCTTCCTCTAGAGTTTTTCAGGTTCAATAATGATGAAGGAGGTTGCGCCTATCATTCTCATCATCAAATTCAAATGCATAATCTTTCTCTTGAGGACCACCTAATGCTCTCACCACAACCAAATCAGTGTGAGAAGCAACCTATGTTCGAAAGCAAGTAGTGTAGGAGTATCCTCCATCTTGTTGATTTTTCACTATTTAGTTTCAATGCCTTCACTTTTTTACCCATTTTCAAATAATTTAGAACCAGGTTTGTCTTTTGTGTCGGTTTAATTCAAACCCTTTTCATTAAGCTATGCTATTCTTGGTTTGTTGGTGCTGCTATATGTATGGATCATGGATTAATATCTTAGCTCTTTTGGTTATGCAATTATGAATGGTTATATTTTCCGCAAGACAATCCATAGAGGTTTGCCTATGTGGACTAGGTGTTTAGAGCAAGCACCATGACCAAGCTTTTGAATGAGTTGAATATGTTGTAGCCTCAAGAAGCCGTCAATCAATGTACTTTATTATTATAAATATAAGCCTTATGTGATCCCATTTGACTCAGTTTCTCAATTTGAAGTTGGTATTTAGACAACATTTGTCAATTCAGATGATGAACTTGAAGATATTTTCTCCAAAGCTTGTAGAGGTCCCCGGGTGGACTATATGTCTATATCTATAGTAAGCTTGACGCATACGGTATACATGCAACAACTTGAGGGAGTGTTAGAATAGTAGAATATGTATATGTTTTAGTTATTTTTCCCACTTGATGTGAATAGGGCCCAAACCCATGTACTCCATTAGTATAAATATAAGCCTTGTGTGATCACATTTGACACAGAATTTTGCAATTTCAAGTAAATGCAAAAACATAAGTTATCTTACCAGACATATGATAGGCTTGATAAGATCCGTATGTAACGGAACGCAGTTTTCTGGTTCTATTCTCTTTTATAGAGATTAAGATTTATGCTTTTAACTTTCCCCTAGCTTAATCAGTTATAAAGAGGATACTTACAACTATTGTAAAGTGGGTATACACTAGGAAAAATAGAAAGGGCAATGTGGATTATCAAATGAGAGTTAGTTACATAGTATGTGCCAGATTATCCGGCTGGCAGTAGTGAGGGAAAAAGGAAGGGAAATTGTTATTGTTAGAGAAGTATATAAATTATTGATGGGCTTTCACTTAACAATTTAAGCTTTTGGGTTGAATTGACACTTTATATGGAATCAGAGCCTCGGTGTCACGGGTTCGATCTTCACCGCCCTCCATTTAATTAATAATTAGTTAAGTCTTGTGGAGTTTCTTAGCACAGGTAGGTGAGCCTATGCATTATCCACCCTTCAAGTCCAGTGGGCTCTCGTGTGAGGGGGCGTGTTAGAGAAGTATATAAATCATTGATAGGCTTTCACTTAATAGCTTAAGCTTTTGGGTTGAATTGATGCTTTACAGTTATTACTTGTCTGTCAGTGAGTGATTCCTCGTATGTGTAAAGACGGGTAGACCGTCTCATCTCTTTCCCCGGATCGAACTTCGATCATGTCACGAGAGTGGATTCAGTTGGTTCCATCGGCCATTCTGCGAACCTGACAGCTATCACTTACTGATCCAAAAAAGTGAGGTCAGTTTTCACTCTAATTCGTAGCTTTAAAGTCAAAGTACTTGCTTCAAAGAATCATCCTTAAGAATTACAACATTGGCTTCTTGCTCTAAAAACATAGGCATATATAGGTAAGGAGGAAAATGGGGGATTATGCATGTATTTTAGAAGTTTGGTTCAGCAGGGAGCTGAAGGAAGGAACAAATCCTTTTGAATGACTCAACAATATGTAACTTCTGCTATTTCAACATAATATTATTATTGATTTTGTTCAGCTGTTCTTGTTGTTTTGCTATTTTTCTCGTGTTAGTGTGATAGACAAGATCATGATACATCAGTCATCATTATCAACATGACCTTAATCCCAAACTAGTTGGGGTCCGTGGCAGATGAACCCAAATTTAAAGTAATTAATGTGATAGATAACAAGAAGATAAAATCATAAAACACAGGACTTTATTGAATCACTGTTGCTGCAATAGAATGCAACAATTACAACATTCCAGGACTTTTGAGAGTTTCTGGTGCCTTTGGTTGATGCACTTTAAAGGGGTGTTTGGTACGAGATATATATTTTTTTACCTGGAAAAAAAGATGGTTGAGGATTTGGTAAGAATTTTTTTATCCCGGGTAAGTTACGAAAAAGTGTTTGGTTGGCCAAAATTTTGTCGGGAAAGTTGGGTTTATTTTACTGATGCTATGTTTGGTTGATGATAAAATATTGATGGGATAATTATTTGACTCAACATATTATATTCAGAATTTAAGACCCTAGGCAAAAAAATATACCAAAGGATCAGTGGGATAATTATTTGCCTTTGTGTAGTTGAAAAGGAAAATACCTGGGGAAATTATTTGCTGAGATTTTTTGCACAATACCCATACCAAACACCCCCTAAGAGGCTCAATTCAATCTAAATCATGTAGATTTCTGCGGAAAAGAAGCCTGATGCAGGGAAGCAAAGTTTGGACAAGGGACAGTTGGGAAGGAAGTCATCAAAGAAGGGGCAGAAAACAGCGTCACTGTTAAGACCCGTAAGTTTTGTATAATCATATTGTCATACATTGTCAACTAGACAAATCATTTGCAGTGATGATGATATTGATTATCTATGTAGGTGATTTGTATATGTAATGACCTATATGCACCTGCCTTAAGACCATTACGTCAAGTAGCCAAGTAAGTTTCTAATTATGTATGATATTAATGTTTTATTTCTGAAACTTTAATTATTTTTTCTGATGCTAAATTTATTTTGCTATTAACATTGTTTTTCTCTATATGAATCATATTTGTCATGATTATTTCTGAAACATTGTAAAAACTTTGTGTGATGAAAACCTTAACAACTAAAGCCTTATCACACTATTTGAGAAAACATTGAAGGAGAACTTTTCCGCGTATCTCAAGCCCTCATAGCTTGACATCAAGTCTCACATGTTCTAGTTTTTTCATAATCTCCAGCAACCTCTTCTGGCCAATCTCCACCATTCCACCAGTAACGTTGCCCTATCATTGTTCATGAACAACTATATTTTGGTTTGGTTCTATTGATGCGTGATCCAACAACTGCAATAAATTTATAAAATCTGAACAGTCAAATCACCAACCTTATTCTTCCCATTATTAGGTAATAGAGTAAGAGAAAGTGATACCGTAAGGCTTGTAACGTGTTAGTATTGTTAGCATCTTTCTTTTGCTGAGTTGTTCAGAGTTTGTTAGGTTCTGTATAGAGTGCTAAGACTTTGTTATGCTATCTCTCGTTGTAAATGAATTTAGATCATGTAGTTCTAAAAGCTTCTATGTTAAGCTTAATTTCTGTACACTCTATATTTCAGTTCTCCCTTTAGAACTGATAACTGTTGTAATCAGAAATACAATCTTTCAGAAATGTCACACCTTCCTCTTTCTCTTTTGTTTGAAATATCTTCTCTTTGGTGGTATTAGAGCCCTTCTAGGGCCCTGATTTGCCATACCACTGCGCAAAAATGGCTGCAGCTTCAGCCAATTACAGTGATTCTACTTCATTTTCTTCCCATGACCCAAAATGTTAATCTCTGTTCAATACTCAACTCTCAGTCATGCTTACAAGCAAGAATTTTTTGCTATGTAAGCAAATAATCGACCACCAATCATTGCTCACCAACTCGAGCGTTTCTTGGTGAACCCTAAAATTCCTCTCAGAAGAAGATCAAAGCTCTGAAATTGTAAATCCAGCTTTTGCAGAGTGGGAGCGAGTTGATAAGATGCTCTTTACCTGGTTGCAGTCAACTATGTCAGAAGAAATTATTATCAAAATCCTTGGCGTAAGGTGGTCACACCTTGCCTTGGATAAATTTCACAATTACTTCAGCTCAACGACCAAAGCAAAAGTGAGTCAAGTTCATTCTAAGCTTTGTTACATCAAAAAAGATTGTTAAGTGTTGAAGAACATTTGGCACACATTAAGGCTCTAATTGACATAAATTGGTGATCCAATAACTAGAATGAACAAGTGGAAATGCCACTTTGAGGGATTACCTTAGGAATATGATTTGTCTATTACTTACTATTGTGGTAGAGTCTTCCAGCACCTTCGAAGATCTTGAATCTGAGCTTTTTGGTTTCCAATATAATTTGCTATCCATTAGCCGTCTGATATGTTCTCTTGACTCTATCATCCCTTTAACTATAGATTCTGCCTTTATACAAGTCTAAGTTGTTTTCCATTTTTCAACAATTTTATCATGACATAAAAACTCAATCTTGGTTTTCCAATTCACACTTTACATAGTTTTTTCCCTTTTTCGCTCCAATTTTAGTTTCTTACGTCACTTGGATGTGCGCTTTTTTTTTCCCCTTGACACAAGATGCTAGACAATTTACTGGCTTAAGGGTGCCTTCCGCCCTTGAATATCTTGTTATATGGATGGATAGTATATTGTTTAGGAAAGAGCTAGACGATGCTGGTTATGTTTTTTTTTTTTTGGCCCATTATTGTGCTGTTATGTGTAAATTGAGATAATTTTTCACTTTTAATATTGATTGATGGATTTTCCGGGTATTATACTGAGTTCCAGATATGAGAGATTTCTTTTGTTGTTAAAACTTTGATCCCCTATCCTGTAATATTAATTCCATCTCAAGCTAGTGATCCTGCCTTTCGTGTTTGCATCTGTTCCTCTGTTTTTTTGTAAATCTCATTTTGTATATAATATGATTTCTTGACAACAAACTTTGTTTCTTGACAGGGTTCATATATTTGTTCAACCAACAGTTTGTCGTGTGGTTAACAGGTAATGATTAGCTCGAAATGGTCAGACATCTAAAATGGTTTCATTTTTTATTTTTATTTTTAATTACAAGTTTAGATTTGGGGAAGGTATGTCTTTTTGCACGGCTACGGAAGACCACTAAAGAGTGACTTAATTACTAGCCTTATTGAGGGAGGGTTTACAATAAGATTATATATCACCTATTAAAGAGGGAAACCTAAAAATCCTACCCAAACCACAATTACCGTGGGCAGAAGATGTGTCAACCCTCATTGGCGGTTTTAGGTTTAGTTATAATTATTAGTGTCTATTTATTTATTTTCTAATTAACACTATCCATTAAAATAGCAATAAAAAATTAAAAGGAAAAAATAAAATGAAAATAAAGATACATAAGAGAGAAAAAGTAAAATAAATAAATAAATAAATATATAAAGAAATACAGAGATGAAAATAAAGAAAAAATACTTAAAATAAATAAGAGATGAAAGATTGAAAGAAAAAAAAAGAAATAAAAGAGAAGAAGGAAAGAAAAAAAAAGAAAAAAGAAAGAAATAAAGGGAGATAAAAGAAAAAAGGACTAAAAAAGGATTATTTGGAATATCGGAAGAAAAATAGATCTAACCTTCCACAATGCTAGCTTTCCTCCAATCCTACTTAAGACACATTGCCCCCCAATATATATCTCACTCCATTAAATCTTGTTTTAATGTCTTTCCCCAAATAAGTTTCGGTCTATCTCTTCCTCTATGTGTTAAGTTCTTCGTAAAAAACTTTTGTTCTTATGAAAACGTCTAGGGATCTTCGTATTATGTGACTAAACCACCTCAATATATATTCTCTCATCTTTTTAACCATCGATGCTACTCCTACCTTTCGTTGAATATTTTCTTTTCTTATCTTGTCCATTCTCGTATGACCATACATCCATCTTAACATTCTCATTTTCACTACTCCTATTTTATGCTCATGCTGACCAACATTCAGCTCCATATAACATTACATGCCTTATTGTTGTTCTATAGAATTTTGTTTTAACCAATTTGCTTTTCCACAATTCTAATTTTCTATTAACAACAGTCTTAGTCTTATCAACGAGCAAAATATCATTTGCAAAAAGCATACACCATGGAAGCTCTTGAATATAATTTGTTAGTTGATCCATAACTAAGGCAAAGAGATAAGGACTACACCTATCGTGATAGGAAAATAACTTCATGTTCCATTCAAGCTCTCACACAAGTAGTAGCACCATCATACGTATCTTTGATTTCTTCTAGATACTTTACTTTTTTCTTCTCAAGAACCCACCGTAGAACCTTTCTTATCATATGCCTTTTCAAGATCTATAAACACCATATGTAAGTTCTTTTCTCAATATTTTTTCATTAATTGTCGTATCAAAAAAATGGCTTCCATGATACATTTTCTTAGCATAAACCATAATTTGATTTATAGAGACCTTATTCTCACTCCTTAAGCAGTATTCAATAACTCCCCCACAACTTTATAGTATGACTCATATGCTTAATGCTTCTATAGATACAACAATTCTAGATATTTCCCTTGCTTTTGTAAATAGGCACAAACATACTTTTCCGCAATACATTAGGCATCTTATTTGTTTAGAGAATCTTATTGAAAAGATTAAGATTTGTTTGTCAACTTATTGCTACGGCCTCTCCATACTTCAATAGGAATTACATTTATGGTATAGATATCACTTTAAATTTAACAACATTTGACCTTAATAAAGAAAACTTGATTTCACATTAATAACATTATATTTATAATTAAATATATCATTTGATTTTGTTACTTTTTAAAAAAAAAAATTTAATAAACAAATTTAGCTACACACCTTTTGAATTAACTGCTTATGTTTGCATTAACCATATACATCAAGTAGTTAATATCTTTAAGAAGACAGTGTTAGAATAGTATGTTGAAGTAGTTAAATGTATATAATAGAATAGTCCAACATCTTGTGGGTTTAGCCCATTAGGTCATTTAGTCTCTTTAAATAAAAAACTCTTATACAGTTGCAATATGCACTTATTCAATCTCAAGTTGGTATTAGAGCTCTTTGTTCTGGGAACTTTCGCTTCCGCTAAAACCCTAAGTCTATTGCTTAGGTGTTCTCTCCTTCCTCTACGTCGTGCGTCCTTCCGGCTTGTTTCTGCAACTGTCAGAGTTACTGTTCACACCAAAGTTACTATTCATCGGAGTTACTGTTCATGCCATCGGAGTTACTATTCATATGCCGGAAATACTGTTCATGTTACTGCAAAACACTGTTAATCGCAAAAAAAAAACTATTCCAGTGTCTTTTTTGGTCGTTCTAGGAAAGAACTGATCTGTTTTGTCTCCTCCTTCCAGATCTGTTCTTGGTTCTTCGTGGGTCTCTTTTTTGGTTATCGTTTGATTCTATTTGTTTTGTTCTGCAAGTTTTTATTGCATTCATAATGGCAGAATCATCTCTTGTTCACACGAAGTATGAGGAGCGTTGTTACATGAAGTATTCTAACTTGCGACCCTCTCATGCTGCGAATATAGCTCAATCAGATACTACTTCATCTGGTTCAGTCTCTCTCTCTCTCCCCCCTGCAGACTATGCAGCACTCTAGACTCGTCCAATTGTGTTTGGGCAAACAGTTGTTCGAGCTCCTGATTTCGTCTACCTTGTTCTGCCACTGTAGCGACCATTGCTACAATTGTGGCGTCTCGCGCGTCGATGTGTGGTTGTTTGCCGTCGTCGTTAAGGGTGTTACCATGCCTTCTGCCGCAGTCGCCTCGACCCCGTCGTCCACCATTGTTCTGTTTAGCCATTTATGTGAGAACCAAAGTTCTGATACCAAATAATGCCGAAGCAGTAACCAATTGGCTAAACAGAAAGACAAAACGAAACAAGAATTGCGAAAAAACACTTTTATCTTTTTTTAATTTTATTTAACCAAAAACAACCTAATAATAATAGAGTTCTCCAAGCCTTAAATAGGCAAAATAAAATAACCAAAAAGTAAATAACTATAATCATGCTCAATCAAAGGAGATAACGCACAATCAACGCGCACTCAAACATAATCTAAAAATAACAGAAAAGGAAATAATTAACAATTATTGAAAAGCCCTAAACTATGGAATATTTATTGAAAAGCCCAATCCAAATCAGTCATCCAGGTGCATCGTTATCTTTGCAAATTGTTACGAATACCAACCCAAAAGCCTTTCCCTTGGCATTCAAACAATTGATCTGACAATTATCATTGAATAAAACTGAAATTCCTTATAATGGTCCCCTTTTGTGATCTAAATTGGAGTGACACTGAAGGTATTGAAACATGGGAAGTCAGTCCCGGTGGAGAAGGTTGGCCTTTTAGATCTAGGTGGCTCTGGAATTCAATCGCATAAAATCTTGATCTTGTTTGTCAAGCACAGTAACTAATTTGAAGAAGGCCTCAAGAACATGTTTCAAAGATAAAGATGGTCTGCACCTAATTACTGTTAGTGTTGCGCATACTTAGCTTTTTTGGAAAGCAATCCGGGAAAATTACGAAGCACACGGCATCTCATAATTATAAGGACTGTAGTCAACCCATAGTGGTGTCCTAATTACTTGATACAATATTATATTTCTGTATAATACCCAAATCATAAGCTACTATGTCTCTATTATTCAAACTAGTCTTAAAAAGCATGCTGGTGACTGTAGGTCAAGTGGATATTCCACAAGAACCTAGCCTTATTTCTGTGAATCATACCAAAATCAAAGCATTAACAAAGTGAACCTAATATTATTATTTTTCCAACAGAAATCAGTTGCAAAAAAGAAACCAACATGTCTTCAATACAGCCCGTAGCTACTTGCATTTTCAGATTGGAAAATTTTCATAATAGCTCAGAACAAAGGGAGTCACAACTTGAGAAAACATACCAAATTAGCTACCCATACTTGCTAGACTGCATATTTGATCCCTTAATTATTGTTTAGCAGTGCTATCTCTGTCCATTAAGTTTCGTGAGTTCCTTCATAAACTTAAATGAACTTTGTAGGCTGAAATATATATGTAACAAGGAGGGTATGAAAGCCAGTGCCATTGCACTCACTGCTCTAGCAGAATATACAGGTAATTTTTCTGATCTTTTTCTTTCTTACTTAAGAACTTTGTAAGTTGTGCAAATATTAAAATTTAATTAATATTACTATGGTGTTAGCCATGCATTTATGCATGCACTTGTGTTTGGCTTGAAGTTCAGGGAGAAAAAAAAAGTGTCGAGAGTTTTGTCACTCCACATGCATATACCTATATATGCATATATGTACGTGCATTCATATTGTTATTATCGAAATTATGTACTACCTAAACCAGCTAAGCTTATAACAAAACCTGTTTAATTTATTCTTCTGATACTTCTAATCAAATAACACAATTTAATCCCAAATACAAACATAATTGACAACTGAATATGCCTTTTTCTTTTTAATTCATGTTAGAACCTATATACACAGGTTTTGTGCTATCAGTCCCGCATCATGTAACTAGGGCTTAATCCTATGTAATTATTGATATAAATATAATCCCTCTGGTCACAATAATCACTAAAATGGAAAACTTTTCCGTGAGCTGAATTTTAGGGTCATTTTTCCCTTGGAAAATAATATGAGAAATGCAGTGAAGAAAGTATACCTGTATTGCTTATCATATAATCTGTAGCACCTGGCTGTGTGAAGTAAGGCATGACAAGTAGTGGGTTTGTCAGACCTAAGAAGATAGAATTGGAAGACCTCAAACCCTTTATGGTTTGAAGTTTGGATTAGTGAATAAACTCGTGCCATCATAGCAACCTGCCTAACCTCCTCCCCTGAGTTGGGTCTAGGTAGTAACTAAAAACTATTGCTTACCAGTTTATGCAAATTTCTGAACCCGACCACTGTCCAAAAGTCTCTGCAGTCTTACCTTGCAGCTTACAACAATTCCTTTTAATGTGCCCTGTCTCAACCTAGTAGTGGGCCACCATTTCAATCAACTTCTCAGCCATTCTGACAACAGGTTCAGGATCCGCCTCTACTTCCTCTACCACTTCCTTCGTATTAAAAATCTTGGATTAATCTTTATCTACTTTGATGATACTGTTTGTGACATGGTAAATGCTTGATTCATGCTAAATCTAGTATTCGATTTATCAGTGTGTCTAGATGTTGTGACACCATGTGCAATTTGAATTTTTTTTACTCAGTGATATATTCTCCATATCTGTCTTTTCAATCATTTGATTCTTCTCTTGTCCTCTTTGACTTTTTCCCTCATCACAGAATGTGATATACGCTCATGCTTGAACACTCTCCAATTTCTCTCCAAGAAGAAAGAAACCCTCAATGTGGTAAGATTTTAATGTGAACCATCAATTCAGAAGAACATTTTATGACTTATGAATTCATACAGGTTGATTGTGTTGTCAATCTTATCCTGTGAGAGAAAGAGATAAGAGAGATCACAAAGGGGAGCTCTAACTTATCACTGCTAGGCTCCCAACTAAAGAGTGTGTGTGTGTGTGTGTGTGTAATGTGTTCAATTTATGGTAAGTACAAGTATAGTTCCCTTGTACTCAGAAGACCAATCCCAACACAATATGAAGTTGCACGGGTAATCAAGAGTGCTCCTCATGGTAGGGTACTCCTCTGATAAACAAACCTAGAGTACTCTACGGTGGAGTGCTCTTCTGACTCAAGTTTTAGGTACTTTCTGAATAAAGAAAATACTAATTTCATATAATCATCAAAAACATCTCAAATGTTTACATCAATGGTCTATTTATAGACCCATCATAGCCAAACACCTTAATAAGGTATTCCTACTCTAAGCTGGAATAAGATAATTCAAAATAGAATAAAATCCTTAAATAACAATTAATCCCACATTAAAAACCCTAATTTAAAAAGTAAACTCTAAATTGAAATCCTAAAACTATATATTCAATCTACATCTCTTCTTTGGAAAGTCAAATGACTAACAAAAATCCAATGAGGCAGAATCCAACAAATGAAAATCATCCTCTGGGTCTGATGCAGCATCCAAAGCAGTCCTGCGGTCCTGCCCCTCCATTTCACAAAGTAGTGGTGAAAAAGAGGAGCAGAAGACATTTGGGAACCTGAGAAGACCTGGGACTTGCAGAAATAGTTGGTGATAACAAGTGAGATTGAAATAACCTCTATAAGGTTTTAGATCCTCCAGATTGAAAACACAACTATCATATCAGTAGTCAAATCAATTAAATATGCATTAAACTCGTATTTAGCTAACATAGGAATAGGCCCAAGAGCTCTGCCATTCAATTGTTTAAATAAGTGTTTGGGATGAAGGTTAGGACGACTGTATACCATAACATAGTCGCCCACAACTCTGAGCCCAACAATGCCCATCAGTAGGAAGTTTATAATTATCCCTGCTCAAAGCAAGCTTATGTCTAATGTTGACGTGCGAATCAGGGATATAGGCAGCAAAGGACTTGGCAGAGTCCGATGCTCTAAAGAGGCCAGGCAGAAGCACAGAATCAATAGGCTGAAAAGGGGTTAAATCTTTGACATTCTCAAGTCTTAAAGGAGGGGGAATATATATATAAAACCTGTCTTGGCTTTATAATTGTTATCAAGAAGATATTTTTAGCTGTGATTTTCTTTTATATTGTGAGGTTTAATCAGTGAAGATTATTTATGTGTGAATTTTGTGGCTTTATGGCCCTTCACTTCAAAATTTGGAGTACACTTAGTTTGTATGAAGAGCATTTCTTTCATTTATTAGACGCTGGATTAATATTCGCATGCTTTACTGGTGCTCAGTTTGATATTGCCTCTCAAGTAGTTGGCCAGAAGGACATGTCAAAGAATCTTCTAGACATCTGGAAAGAAGTAACGTGCACTACCCTGTTGGGTTTGTCTATTTCTTGACTACTGATTGTCTAAGAGTATTGCTTTATATTTATTTTTATTTTTGCATTGAATATTATTCTTTGCCTAGCTTTTCCAAAGGAAAAGAACGAAGATGGAAAGAAAATCTCATGGAAGCAAGTCCTTTGAATTTGACTCCTTGTACTCCCTTATATCGAATCGGTAGGCATATATTACTGTTTCACTCATTTCTTGGTCTTATCTTCTGTCATGAACCAGTTATTCCAAAAACTTAAGCTGTAAGCTGTAAGCACATGAATATTTTTTATATCAAACATGTCTTCTCACACGAGAGCCCTTTAGACTTGAAGTGTTGACAATGCAGGCCCACCTTACCTTGTGCTGAAATTTAAATTTTTATTTAAAAAATGTGGATACTACTTGGTTATAGAGGCTAAGATGCAATATCATGAACCAATTATCTCAAAAACTTAAGATGTTGGATGAAAGCACATGAATGATTTTATTTCTAACATTTTCAAATATATGTATGTCCATATTAAAATTGGCTAATTAATGTGCAGTGGTGATTGTGACTCGATTCTGGATGGAATTCATGAAAATATTTTGCAGCTCAATTATCATGACCCACTGATGCATAAAACTGTAAGCATTTATCACGCACTACAGATTTACTGAGATTCATTTTACTGATTCCTTTGAATCATTGAGAATTTTGTTTCAAAATCTGTTTGAAGGCCAAGTGCTTCGATAGTCTTGGAGTTTACGATCTAATGCATCAATATATAATGCGTACACAGAAAATGCCTCTTCGTGGTAGGAAGATAACTTATCTACTTTAATACTGTTGCAAAAAAATAAAAATAAAAAAGTCTTACTCTTGGTTCTGTCTTTCCTTTCTTCAGTTTATTTCCCCTCCATAGCAATTACTGTACATCATATAGTAGCTCAAGTTCAGAAGCCGAATATTGAATGGCCAAAGTCATATCAAAGGTATATTTGTGCTAGTAGGACTTAGCATAAATTTTGAAATGTTATATTTTTCTTACAAAACAAAATTTCCTAATGCTATCTCATGAAAATCTCCAGGTATCGGACAATGATGATAGAAAAGATGGACATTTTGAATACTTGGCGTTACAAAATCCCACCGCATATTGCTAGGCACTTATCAGCTAATTCCTTTGTTGAAGATTTAATTTCTCCTTTGTTACACATTCTCTCCCCACCAACTATAAGACCGGTACTGTGCTGATTCTATTTGTTAACAATTTACTTTAGTTATCTAATAGATTTTGCCTCAGTTTTTACTCCCATATAATTACTCAAAAGTAAATGTAATTGCAGATCTAGTATTATATGATGTTCAATTCATGTAGTTTTTGCTATATTATTTTAACACTATTTTTTGATATGTGAAGACAATGGATTTTTTTTGATAAATAAAGAATCTGTTAACTTGTTTTGAAGAAGGAACTACCATGATGAATGCCTCTTTCTTTTAGTATTATGTTTCTTGGCGGCTTATTCTTGTAGTATTGTGTTTCTTAGCTGACTTACCTTCTCTTTCTCTCTCCCTCTCTCTCACAGACACAGACTCATGATTTATACTCTGTTGCTGTTTCTGTTAGCTGTTAATTTCATTACCGTTAGCTTAGTTAGTTAGCCTAGTCAGATTCTGTTATGATGCTGAGTCAGATTCTGCTATGAGTAGTTAGTTTTAGATTCTATAAATGTACTAGACCTAACCAGTGTAAAGTAACTTTGCAATTAACAGATTTCAGATCCCAAAATTCTCTCGGATTTTGTCTGGCTCTTTTCCCTCACTTTCTATCATTTTCTCACCTGCGCACAACTTCTATTACTTGTTGAATTTAGTTTCTGCAGTGCTCAAGTGCTGACTGCTAGTCTACTTTAAGTAATATATGCATCTCTTCAAAGAAAGACCTATTGTCAGAGAACTGCCACCAAGAAGAGTGATGAATCTTTTGGGTGTGAATGTGTGATGCCTAAGAATCCTAGTAGGGAAGCCTATATCACTCTTTTCAATATCTGATCTATTTTACTCAGTTTCAGACCTCACAAGACCTATTCTTGCAGGACATTATTAAAAACTGATTTGAAGTCTAGTTTTGCTTCAATTTCCTTAGAACTTATAAACCTCCAATCCCTAAGTTCACAGCCCTGCAACCATTGTTGTTAAAACATAGAGACTACGTAGAAACGGTAGGGATGAACAGAATTGTAAAATCGTAAATAAAACATAAGAGTTTACTTCATACCAAAAAAAACTAAGTATCCAACATATATAAATCCAAAACACATTAGTACATAAGTCATCACAAATTTAAGTCCATATAAAGGAAATAAAATTATAAAAGAGATCCAACATCTCTAACCTAAGTCATCGGAATCAAAGTCAATATCATGTTATTCCTCCCCTCCTCCACTCCTCCACTAATAAATTCATCAATAAATTCGGAAATTTCCAAATCATTCAAGTTCTCCTCTTCTTCATTTCGAGCATCCAAGCCAAGGGGGTCTACTTCAAGAATCCAGAAGCCAAACAGGGCAGAAGCAAGAACGAAGGAAATAAATATTCTCATTCAAGAACAACAACAACAAAAAAACGAACACAATCCAGAAACAAGAACGAACAGAGCAGAGTAGAAGCAAGAACCAACCTTGCAGAAGAACACGAACTGAGACGCAGAGGACGAACGGAGAAGCCAAATGGAGGGCGAACGGAGGGTTCAAATGAAAGAAACTGACCTTGAAGGTCGAGGCATGTGAGAGGGAAAAACAAAATTTTTCGAGCGGAATAACACATACCATATCAAGAAACATGCTTTAGGGCATGGATGTTACCTTGTTTGCTTTCCAAAACTTGAGGATGATCAAGATGAGGCTTGAAGATGCAAGCCCTCTAATTTTGATCCACACCATCCTTTGTCAAGACGGAAGAACTCTTCTTCAAGGCCACCAACGAAAACACCAATGGAGGCAAGCTATGCGCCCAATGTGTGAAGGAGGAGGCTAGGTCAAGGTGTTTAGAAGAGTGAATATTCAGCAAGAATAGACACAAAAGTGGCGCATGGTTTTACTTTGAAAAAGGCTAGGTTATTTCAAAACTCTCTTAAGAAAAACCTGACAAAAGGAACCCACAAGGAGATGAGAGAATAAGCTAATTAAAATCAGATTTTCTTCACTTAAATAAAGCCCTATGTAGCGCACACTAGGGGGGATGAGTAGAGTTGTTGCAAAATTCAAATCTTGTCAACAACCTCCTCTCACATCCTCATAATATCAAGTGAATATCTCAACAAGAATCTGACTCAACAACCATCATATGGCCAGCCATATGGTGCGCCCCACTTGGCCTCATAACAGTCCAGATACGTTGAGCAGATGCATTCAAACTTGAATCAACTGTCTCACTTATTCTCTCAACAAACCAAATCTGACTGGAGCTCATTTGGTTGATCCTATGACCATCATCAGATGCCAAAATCAGCGCCCCATATCCTCATAGAGTCTATTTTATTTAACTTCTGGTCTAAGGAAAGACATAGCCAAATATAAAGAGACTACTCTAATGATACTCTCTGTGAGATTTCCTCATAGAGTCTATTTGTGGGTCTGTTCAGTGCGAGCTATGCCCTTATAGCTCCACCCACGACTTTAGCTAAGACATCTCCATATCTGTAGCTCATGAGGTCTTTACCTTGCATCCGAATACAAGTAGATAAGTCGTGCTAGTCTTACCCGAGATCACTGATCCCCATTCTCAGTGTCTCTAGACTAGGAACATAAAATTAGGAAAAAACATCCAGTATCCTTGAATCCTCATGATCGTGATCTCATCACAGATACTCAAGAGAAACCTATTTTATTCCAAGGGGTTTATCCAGTTACTCATATATAATATTAACAGTAATATCAAGACAAAATATGAAACAGGATAAAGAATGCTTTTATTTATTTGCGACAATACAAAGGTCCACTTATGTCCTAATCTAATCAAAAGATTGTCTCTAGGACATCCATATACTAACAAGCTCCCACTTGGCCTAGAGCCAATCAGACCTAAGTCGTATACCCAAAGCCTCATAATGACTATCATGTTTTCTCTGAGAAACAGCCTTTGTAAGAGAATCAGCTAGGTTATCATCTGTGGGAATATAATCCATCTTTACATCCATCCTATCAATGATTTCTCTAATCAGGTGATATCTGCGGAGCACGTGCTTAGATCTTTGATGAGACCTAGGTTCCTTTGACTGCGCAATGGCTCCAGTGTTGTCGCAAAGCAATTGTATGGGCTCATCCACGCTTGGAACCACCCTTAGTTCAGATATGAACTTCTTGATCCACACGGCCTCCTTAGCCGCTTCTGAAGCAGCTATGTATTCAGCTTCTGTCGTTGAATCTGCTGTTTTCTCCTGCTTGGAACTCTTCCAAGATACTGCCCCACCATTTAAGGTGAATACGAACCCTGATTGTGACTTGCAGTCATCTTTGTTACTCTGAAAGCTGGCATCTGTGAACCCTTTCACTATTAGCTCATCAACCCCACCATAGACCAGAAACGCATCCTTAGTTCTTCTTAAGTATTTAAGGATGGTCTTGACTGCTGTCAAGTGACCCTCTCCAGGGTCCGACTGGTACCTGCTCGTAATGCTCAAAGCATATGAGACATCTGCTCTCGTACATATCATGGCATATGTAAAGAACCTTGGGATACACCACCCCAAAAGCTAGCTCAAAGGGTGGGAGTGCCCAAGGCCTTATAAAGGCCACATTAGTTGCACTTACAACCAATGTGGGACTATATATCTCAACACGCCCCTTCATGAGAAAGCCCATTGGGCTTGAAGAGTGGACAATGCAACAGGCCCAGCCTACCTGTTCTAAGAAACGCCACAAGAGAAAGTGGGGGCGGCGAGGCTCTGATACCATGTACTAAACAAATGCTGTTTTATCTGACGAATTCCGTCTTGATCACTTCCGGTGAAAATGATGTCGTCAACATAGAAGCTCTGATACCATGTACCAAGTTGCTCTGATACCAACTTGAATATAAAATAATATGTTGTGTATTGATCTAATTTAGAGGGTTACAATATATGGAGACTCTAATGGGCTTAAGTGAAAGGCCCAGACCTAATACAAACCTAATACAATCAGAATTAATTACAGACTAATCATATCTAATCATATTTAATATATTCTAACACTCCCCCTCAAGCTGGTGCGTATATATTGTGAGCACCAAGCTTGTTACAAATATAATGAACCTGAGGACCTCTAAGAGCTTTAGTGAAGACATCTGCTAGTTGATCAGAGGAGTTGACGAAAGCAGTCTTGATTTCTCCTGACTGAATCTTTTCTCGAATGAAGTGACAATCAATCTCTATATGTTTGGTCCTCTCATGAAAGACAGGATTAGAGGATATATGTAGCGCAGCTTGATTATCACAGATGAGTGTCATGGGTTGTTTCTGTTCACAAAGATGAAGCTCCTGAATCAACTGCTTTAACCAGACTAAGTCACAGGTTGCATTTGCCATTGCACGATACTCAGCTTTTGCACTAGATCGAGCAACAACAGGTTGTTTCTTGCTCTTCCACGAAATTAAGTTTCCTCCAAAGAAGACACAATAGCTAGAAGTAGAGCGCCAGTCCGAGGGTGATCCTGCCCAATCAGCATCTGAATAACCACAAATTTCTGTATTTCCCTGATCTGAATACAACAAACCTTTTCCTGGTGCTCCTTTGATGTATCGGAGGATCCTCACAGCAGCATCCCAATGTGAATCACAAGGGGAATCAAGAAACTGACTAGCCGTACTAACAACGAAAGAAATATCTGGCCTAGTCACAGTAAGATAGTTGAGCTTCCCAATTAGCCTCCGATAACGTCCAGGATCAGATAACGGCTCCCCCTGTCTGGGCAATAACTTGATATTAGGATCCATAGGTGTATCAACTGGTTTACTCCCCAACATACCAGTTTCTTCTAGGATATCCAAGGCATATTTCCTTTGACAGATAGAAATGCCCTGTCTGGATTGCGCCACCTCAATTCGTTGTGGAGTGTGAGGACAAGTAGTTTGATGTAAAGTACCTTGTGTGGCCAAGAAATTAGAAAAATCAATAGAAACATATTCCTTAGCATTATCACTACGTAGAATACGAATAGAAACACCAAATTGAGTATAGATCTCAGTAGAAAACTTTTTA